CATCACTCTGACCTTCCCCTATACATTGGTGACCTCTGCCTGTGCCGCAATTATCCCTGAATCACTTGCCTCTCTTGGCACTGACCGTTAGTTCCTCAGTTTTGTTCCTAATAACCCAAACCCTAATTCAGATAGATGCTGATGACTCAAGTTTAATTCAAAAGATTGGGCTTGATGGCATAGAGCTTCATCAAATTCATTTAAAGAGCATTTTAATTCATTATCCATTATTACTAGCCAGAATTTCTTTCAGTGCTGACAAAGACATCAGTTGCTATTCACTATAGGCGTTGAAACCTGGGAAAGATCAGATTCTCAGTAGCCTCTAATGCTGCAATTAAGAAAAGCTCTAAGGACAGTAGTTCTTTCGAGCTCTTCAGCCTGTCATCTCTAGCAACTGCCTAGCTCCTGAAGGGAATTGCTACCTAATTAGAAAGCAGTAATGAAGACAGACCCAATGGAGCATCCTGCAGAGACCCACGTGAAGTCTGGCTTAGTGAGTCCAAAGGAACTTTCCCGCCTTCTCCATATGCTTCTGAGGTCCCACTCCAGCATTGCAATATATCCACAAATAATCCCCTTCTATTTTCCACAGTGCAGATGTACTGTCCTGACTATTGTAAGCATTTACAGGGAAAAAAGAAGCCATCATCTCACTAGGAAAGTAATTTTAAGGTCATCAAAATATATTTCCCAGATGTTTCTACACATTACCTTCAGAGTGCTTCCGCATTAATGTTATCCGCAAGAGCTGAAATTATAACACTGTAATTCTTTGTGCTAAGTATTGACAGGTCTCAGATTTTTTTTTTACAAATTATTTCTAAAATCTATTAGCCCTTTTTCTTTTTTATACTACTGATATTACTGCTCAGTATTTCAATCATTAGAGACATCTAAAAACAAGCAGCATTTACAGAGACCATATTAGACAAAAGGTAAAGTGTTTTTTTACATTTTTATCCCTGCAACTGCAAGTAGTATCCAAAAATAAAACAGAGATGCTCAGGGAAAACCTACCTTGCAATGACCACAGAATACTAAACTGACAGGACAATGTTTTCTCAGGCAGCCTGCAAACATCCATTCCTCTTTCTGATATGGGCATAGTAACATCACTTAAGTTCTCATAGACTCACAGAACATTTGTACACTAGAAGGTTTCTCTGTCTTGCAAACACATTCAACAAGCTGAGTAACAGAATGAATGTAAATAAACGTCAAGGAGATAGCTAATAAGTACTTGTCACATCTCCAATGAACTCAGTTCCAATCTTGCACTGCATACGTAAGATTTATCTGTAATCTCCACAACCCACTAAAAAAAGACTGGGCACACTGCTTTTGATAAAACATTTATGTTCATCACTAACATTTCCCTGTTATTAGGAGAAAATCATTATCTGAGGAAACAGAGCAATTTCTCCAACACAGGGATTGCCAACTGAATGAGGACTAAGTCATAGGGTTACACAGTACAGTTTTATCACAGTGTTCGGCAATTTTTCTCAACAATTATATATATTAAGAGCGGCAGTCTTAATCATTTTGTACTAGAGCAGACTCTTGCAAAATCAACTCAGTGCTCTGCTGATTGTTCTTGAAAGCTATGATACAAATCTAGCTTTAAATCAGAAAATTGAACATTCTCTGCATTTGGGGCTAGAATTGTACTTTCTAGTAAATGAATGAAATTTGCATCTTTTTCTCATAGACCTGCAAACACAGAATATCTTCTCTGTAGTACAGATATTCCTTATTATACAGCATCTTTCCATTTCCAAATAAAGAAATAACATGTCAATCTGTCTGCTATCAATTGCATCCCTATCGTTCTGACATCACAAATCCTATGACAAAGGGGAATGTGCTCTAGAAGCAATTTTGCATAAATCACCATTGGTAGTTCTAAGTTTTGACCATAAGCCTGATCCAAATAAAAAGCTCCCTATAGACTTTAGCAGACTGCAGTTCAAAACTTGAAACTGCCTAGTTGCTTATTCTCTCTACAGAAATTCTGTGGCTGATAGCACTGGTCTCTAAAGTGGGGTGTGTGTGCAAGGAAGCAAATAGTAGCACTTCAGCAGTGCATGTATAGAATTTATAAATAAATAAATATACATATATTGGGGGTATGCTCAAAAATTTTTTACTGATAGGGCTGCACAATCAAAAAAGTTTGGAGACCACTGGCATACAGCATGACTAAGGAAAATAAATGTTTCAATATTTCAGTCCTTTCAGAGGGACTAAGAATGCTAAAATATCTTTTTGATATTCGGTTTAGGGTATAAATTCCAATCGACCTGGGAAACAAGGGCAAGCAAGAAGAAAGGCTATTCAAGGTGTCAAAAACATTCTCAAGGGTGACTTTTTAGCGTCACTATTTCAGTTTCCAACTATAAACAATTTTCACTGATTTCAGCAAACCCAGATTTTCAGCCAGATCTTTAACTAGAGAGTGCTAAGATGCGTGTGGTTTTTCAG